TTAGAGAATTTTATCAAAAAATGCATTGGAAAAAAGGGTTTTTTTAAACAAATACTAATATTATTTTAATTTTAGTTAGATGTTAGAGCAAATTGAAGCTGGTGAAGATATACGAGATTTAAAATGAATGTTTTACAAGCAATCCGATATATTGTTCAAAGTTGGGATGAAATTACGGTTAAAACAATCCAGAATTGCTGGTATCATACTGAAATTCTTTCTCCTGATACTGATAATATTGGATTACATGATGAAATCGATGAAACTGATAATTTAATACTTGATAAACTTCGTAATAGACTTAAAACTCTTCGTCTTCCTAATACAATGCAAATGAAAGAATTTCTTACTATACCTGAAGAAGACATTACTTAAGAAGTTCTTAAAGATGATCAAATTATTGCAGAGCTTGTAGATATTTTTAAATCTGGTAAAAATAATACTAATAATTTGGATGAAATGGATGATAGTACTGAAATTCCAACTATTAGTACTAATGTAGCATTTAAAAGCTTAGAAAATATTCGCACATTTTTACTTTAACAAGAGGAGGATACAAATGAATATATAAAGTTAATGGGTATAATCGAAAAAATTATTAAGAAAAAAAAATAAATTTAATGCAATAAACAACTATTGATCAATATTTTAATTGATAATTGTTTATTCAAATAAAAATATAATAAGAAAGTTAAAATTTTGATATTAATTGACTTTTATTTAGTTATTATTAATGTTTATATTATATAAATATATATTTCTTATAAATACACACCCTCTATAAATGCACGCTAATGTCTGGTCCTATGGGGGATGCATTTATAAAGAGTTGACTGTAAATCTTTTTTTTCTAATACAATAAATATACAGTTATAAAAATAATACTAAAATGAGATCACTCGAAAGTACATTAGTTTCTGTAAAAATCAAAGCACTAGAGAAAAGGCTGGATGATATAGATAATCGTTTAGAAACATTATTTTCCTACTCTTGCCCATCTGAGCTTAAGAAAAAGGTTAAAAAGCTAGAATGAACTGTAGACTGAGTAGGAAATTATGTAGAAGAGCAGACTGGTTTAGAACCTGACGAAGAACTAACAAATTCATCCAATTCATCTGAGTCAGATTATAATTATGTGATACGCAATCCAGAAAAGAAAGTTTACAAAGTAAAATGTGTGAAGAAAAGATCCGGTAATAAGAAGGCGAAACTTAGAAGGAATATGACTGGAGCAGTCTGATCCAACTAGTCCGGAGTAGAGATCAACAATTATGCGTAATAATTAGGCATCTGCGTTATAGCTAATCAAGGTAGATCTGTGTGACAAGAGTAATTAATTTTTTACATATACAATACATTTGAAAAGAAATCATATTAACTTCTGTTCCTATTTTCTCCAAACAAATGTGAGCAGGGGTGTTATAAATGTTTAATTACAGTTCAGAGTTTGTCTTATAAGTAAAAAATGATGGAAAAAGCATATAATATGAAGACGTGAGTACTTTGCAATTCTGAGATCACCAGGAGATAGACAAGCTTTATGTTTTGCAGAGAGATCGTCATGCAAAAAGGGATTAACTTTAACCACATTCCACCAAATATATAAACTTACTGTTAGGGAGACTCAGTTTAGTTACTTTCTAGGCATTTAAATAACGTGCTTCATATTTTATAATAAGCAAATTTCAATAGAACTCCTATCCCATATCTTTCACAACTTTTTTCAAGGTATGTATAATTCAGGAATATCAATACAATTATCTACAGAAGCGAAATTTTACTCACCATGAGATATATTTAGGAAAGCAAAATGGTAAATAATTAAATCTATAGTCTTAACCTCCGTATTCATGATAGCCAAAATGATAATGAAATATTTGTAATTGAAATTTCTAGGGAAAAAAAGGTCAACTTGCTCAAGCCTATCATAAATAAATAGTTGGTGCCTCTCTTTAATCATATTCCTTTCACGCAAATTGATCTTTATATGAATCATCTTTAGGGTGAAAGAAGTATACAACTAACAGCTTCGATTTCTAATTATTTTTAAGGGGTTCCTGGTCCAAATGATATTCATATTTTCGTATTCTCTCCCTTACCCAATAATGAATAGATAGATTTTATAATAGTATTCGCAACATGTAATAGTTATAGCTTTCAGCAACATTTTATTCATAAAATAAGCAAAGACGCAGTGGTGCGATTTTTACAAGATAATATCTGTTAACTTTTTCACTGACCATGAACAAAGTGAATGGGTGGGATTAATTCACTCAATACTCATTAAGATTCAAACCTTTCACAGGATTGGCTAATGCATCCAAAAGTGCATTGTGTTCTAATACTTCAAATGCATCTGATCTAGAAAATGTGTCAAATAATCCATTTTTTGCATGTTCAGATAAATTAGGAAGGCGTCCGGTGAATAGCCTAAGAAGGATATTGTGATAATGAGCTAACCAAGCTTAATATACTTTATCCCAAGTATCTTCACCAAAGTGGGCTATATAATCACATCCAGTATATGGTTTAATAGGATTCTACCATTCATTATCATCTTCTTCTTCTTCGATATCATCATCAACATATCATTGGCACTATTACCTGTTCCAAATTCATCATTGGTATCATCATCGTCAACATATAATAGCCCTAGAGCCTTCAAAAATACATAATCCCCATTCAGATTATTGCTGGCACTAAGATTAGAATCAGTTAGTAAGTTTCACTTCATAGCTAATTTAATACTCTAAATTTACTTATCTTTAATTTAGCGTTCTAGAACCTCTTCGATTAAAAGCAGTAGTATGAATTAGAATCATAATATTTGCAGAATAATCATATGGAAACGATCACTTATCCAAAGACGCTAAGACAAATGATATCGAAAAATTCTTGTCGAAAGAATAGAGGCTCAGGGACGATGATTTCCGGCTTTAAGCAGAAAGCCGCAGATTTTGCCGAATGTTATACTAAAAGCAGAAATTAAAAAATAGTTAG